TTCTAGTTTTGGACGGTACTCGAAAGGGCGAACTCAGTCTTGTTGGGCTGTAGCTGCTAACAAAAGCGCAATTCTGCGCTTGAACAAAATACAGGCAGAGAGTTTCGGGAAAAATCGATCACAGCTGTCTGTAATAAATTCCTTCGGTAGGCAAAACTAGCTGATTGTGATTGGCCGGAAAAACTGTAGAACTGGTGCTCTTATTAGAAGGGCGATGCTGGAAACTGTCGGAAAAACGAGAAATAACTGCTTGATTGGTAAAAAATTTTCCGAGATTTCTAGCGCAAAACATTTCTAGCGCAAAACAGGGTAGAAAAATCTTTATCATTTTAACCACTATACCCAGATCCAAGTAAATCCCATCAAGATGACTTGAATTTCTTAACACTTGTGTAGCGTTATTTTCCTGCGCACAATTCGTGAGAGTATGTTAGCAGCGCACTTTTTAATAAGGTGAACAAAAAAATCTTTGAAAAATAATAAATCTCTGCTGAAAAAAATAATAAATATGTAACAATAAATAAATTTGAAATATGAAACAATAACAGTAGAAAGATAATAAATAAAAAATAATAAATTTCTGAAAAAAAAGAAAGAAAAGAAATAAACAAAAACAAAATCTCTGTTGTGGCACTGTGTTTTCAGGCGAATCCGGTCGTTAAGCGATGCTCTGGGTTATACCAAAATCGAGGAACAAAGCTTGCCAGTGGAATTGGATCCTGATCTCGAATATCCGGGCTGGGAACAATATCGAGAAAATGCAGAGACTCAGTTTGCCTGCTACCGCGCCCACATACGAGTTCGTTTTGTGTGAAAGGATAAATTAACGAAACAGACGAGCTGATAGTACGGCGTGTATGAGCAGGAACCGGATGCTGGGTGGCAGCTACCGAGACGAACAATCTGCCTGATATTTGCTAGCTGTCCTTGTCGGACGAGTCTAAGGCAGAAGCCTTTTCCATGATGCTTTTCAAAGCAGTGAGGCTGCTGAAATAAAAGTTGTTGATGATTGCAGGCAATTATGGAAAACTACGCAATAGAAGATGAAGGGGAGCTTTTCTCGGGCACTTCGTGGACACTGAGAAACCAAATCAGCGACCGAGAAGCAAGCGACTACTCTTTTTTCAGTACAAGACATGTGATCAGGAAGAGAGTGACGGCCATTTTCAGGGCGTAAGCTTTTTTTTTTCGGAATACATTGCGAATAAATGTCAAATTAAAAGCGCTTTGTTTTCTTCGAAAGTGTAATATGTGCTGCGACTAGTTAGCACTGGGCCTTGCACGTGCGCCTCACAAATCGTGCTAATGCCAGTTAGATGATTTTTATGGGCTAAATTTCAATAAATCTGCTTACGAAGAATAATTTCCCTTACAGCAACAAATTTTGAAGCAAATTTTACAAAACATTTTACAATTTCACAAGCATTTTACAATTTCACAGCAAACAAATTTTACAAAGCATTTTACAAATTTTACAACAAAGCAACAAAATTCCCTTACAAACAATTTGTCTTACAACAAACAACAAGAAAATTTCCAAACGCATTCAAACAAAAAACGCATCTAAAGAAAAAGAGAACTCCATATCACGCTGAACTTGTCAGAAAGCTTTCTGTTACTTTCTCACACAGCCCACCAAAAATTATTACTCACAAAACTGCAGGTAAGGCATGAAAAAAACAAATTTTCAGATACCGCAGTGCCTTCTTCGATGAATTTGGTGGTTTCATGAGAAATACGGTGCCGGATCTTGAAAACTGTGACGGTCTGCAGGATCGAAGGATTTGTCTCTCGCCTTCATTTGAAATGCGAAGAAAGGCGTCTGCCTATTATATTGTCGCTTATCGTAAGTATACAAATATTTGGAGAAATAGCGCAAATTCTTGCTCGGAACTGAGGATTGCTTCGAATTGTCTTTTGTTTCTGCCCGTTGTAATTTCGAGGAGCGTTCAGTGCGCAAGCGAGCTGGGGGCTTAATGTGTTTTAATGGCAATTTGACATGAATTCTTTGTGTGCTAGAAGCGGAGCTCTTCTAGCAAATTGCTGCCGTTCCGCCATTATTTTTCACGTAAAGAATGAAATTTAGAGCAGAGTTTAATTTCTGGTTAGCTAATGCTTCATAAATGAATGTGCGCTTTCTGAATGGGTAATCTTGAACAGGTGCAGCATGACCATGTGTAAAATTTCGGAGCGCCGCTGCTAAATTTTTTAAATTTTGAGTAAAGGCGTTTCTGAGACACATTTTGAGGCCTATGGTCCCTAAACTTAAATTATCCCTAAAGTTATCGTTAAATGAGCATAAAGGTATATGTGGGGCATATGTCGCAAGTATGCGAGTTATGCCAGTAATAGTACATATATCGCATCTCCGTTGTCTGGATGGTTTTGGCAACTCAACAAATACTCACTTTAGAATGTAGCCAAGAGGATAAAGCTTTTGACAACGAGAAATAGATTCCTGAGTTGGAGGAAAGAATGCCGCCTTTTTTAAAAGCCGAGAATCAGAAGTGAACCTGAAATTTGGATAGTTCGTCCCAGCAGACTCCAAAAACAAGGGAATCATCGAGAAGTAGAAATCTGCGTCCGATTCAGTTGCAGCGCCCTGTTCTGCGAACCAGTCATCGAGGATAATTTTCCGAATGCGATACCTTGTTTTGAAGCCCAATTTTTTTACTGAATTTTCAGGGAGTGAATCAACATATGTACCACAACGAGTTTTATCATTTGGATGGCTGGCTTGGGATGTTTTGCGCAAAGTGAAAAGTGAGATGAGATTCACCAACGACAGGCCAATTGTGTGCACCATTCATCCTTTCGGCCCGACAGGTGAATGCGCCTCCGAGGTAATCTGACAACGGCTTTTTGGTATTTTAATA